TTTTATTTATGTATACATTGATTAAAAAAATTAAAATAGTAAAGATTGTAAGATTCTATACATTGATTAAAAAAATCAAAATAAAAAGGATTGGAATATTTATATTCTATTTAAATTTTTTATTATAAAATATGTTTGAAATAAATTATTATCTAAAATATTATATTAGATATTAAAAACATGTTTATATTATAAATAAATTAAACTTAATTTTTATACAACTTAAAATATTTATTTTTATATTTTTATTAGTATTAAATTATTATAAAGTATATTTTTAGAATTGTAGTTCTAACCAAATATTTAAAAAATGTCTATGATAGATAAATAAGTCATATTTAGGACATGTATTTTAAAAAAAGTTAGGTTCAAATCTACTAAATTATAATATAACATAGTCTGACTTAACTTATTTCATCTTTAATCGTAAGCATAGTTCTAAAAGTTTGTAAAAAATAATTATGATATATATTTATACTTTTAAAAGTTATATGTAAAATTTTTAACATTATAAATATATAAATAATTATTGCTCCCACTATCTAAAATTTCTAGATCCGTCACTGATGTTGTTACTTCCCTTAAAATATTTCAGGCATATTATTTAATTTTAAATGTATTTTAAAAATAACAATGAACAAATGACCCAATTTATCATTCAGCAGCCACTTTGAATCAGAATGGTTATTGACAAGATGAAAACCATGATGACAGCTTCTGAAAGAGAAAGATATAAATCATTTATGTTAATTCCATTTTATGTCTACTTGAAACTTATTGCTCCATAATATGGTTTTCTGGAAGCTTTACGTTGTTGCATTTTCGTCAATTCTGAAACTTTTGTTGGCTACTGCTCTTGGGGCATTCCTTGCACAAGATCGATTGAATATACTCAAAGAAAATGCCAGGAAGCACATCAATGCTGTAAGTATCATTGCTTTGGGTCTTCTTAAATAATCTCCAAATATTAAATTCCATACTCTAAACATGGTTACAAATTTAGTTATTAGTAGCAACATTTCCCTTTTTCAACAAATCAATAAATTATTATGCAAGAAAATAGGTGAAATATCTCATGTAACAAAACAATCTAAAAAGAAATTCAAGGTAAGAATATATATATATATATATATATATATATATATATCAGATATAATTAAAATGAACACGATATTTATATATAAAAGAATTTCTTTAGTTCAGCATTTGATTATGAATTTTTTAGAAATTTTCAATTAGTCTCTAAATTAAAAAATATATATATATATATACTTAAATCATTTATCAAAATTTTATTTACAAATCATGAAATTTTACAAAATATTCTTTATACACATAAATGATGATACAAAATAATCATCTAATATGTTTGTCTAAGTATGTGAATACTAAAAATATTTTGTAAAATTTCACAAATTGTAAATAAATTGCTAATTCCCTAAGAACTAAATTATAAAAATTAAAAGGATGAAGGATTTGATTACAATTTTAAGAAGTTCATGACCAAATGATGTATTGAGAAAAAAAAGTAAAAAAGAACTTTATTATTATTATTATTATTATTATTATTATATATTATATTATATTATATTATATTATATTATATTATATTATATTATATTATATTATATTATATTATATTATATTATATTATACGTGTATTAATTTCTCTATAAAAAATAATGTTTAATGCTATAAATTTATATATGCACATGTTCCCTCTAATGGTATTTAGATGAAAGAAAAAAAATTAAAAAGAGAAAATTAGAAGAGAAAAAAATAGTTGAAAAGAAAATAATAAAAATAAATAAAAGTTTATATAAAGAAAAAGTTTTTTATTTTATTTTAATCCTAGTTGCTTACAAATTTAGGGATAACAGAAGAAAATATACTTAATTTCTATGTTTTGCATAAGCAGATTTTTTTAAACTATCAATTAGAAATTAATGTTGGTATATGACTTTTAAGCTAATTAGTGTGAAAGTAAACAAATTCATCATGATACTTTATGATTGAATAACAGTATAAAAATCATTTACCTGGTAGTGGATAAATTATTTTCTCATACTTTTATGTTCCTAGAATTTTTTTTTAATGTTACTAAAGAGTTTTTATTAACATGGCAAAACCGAATAATATAACTTATTGTTATATTGCTGTACTTCTTGCCCCCTAAAGAATAAAATTAATGAGTAGATAAGGAATACATAGGACATTACCTTGGTAACTAATTTACAACACAACATACCTCTTCCTTTTTGTTTTTGTTTTGTACAGATGGTATATTTTGTCTTCACCCCAGCTCTTATTTATAGCAGCATGTCTAATACCATAACCTTAAAGAGCGTGGTTATGCTGTAAGTTATAAATTTCTCACTATTCACTGCATTTTCATTCCATGTCTTGTTTTGACATTTTTCACCATTTGATTGGTTTATAAGACATGCTTGATTTCTTGAATCATGTAGGTGGTTCATGCCGTTGAGTATTCTTGTAACATATATTGCTGGCACTGTTCTTGGATGGTTACTTATTAAAGCAATTAGAGTTCCTCATCATCTGCATGGCCTTGTGTTGGGGTGTTGTGCTGCAGGCAAGTTTATTTAAGATTTGAAGTTATTTTCTTCAAGGATCTTGTCAAGATACAATCATGGTTACTTGATAATGTTGGAGTAACTTTTAATTTTAATGGTGCACGTGAAATCTAAAATCTTGACCGTATAATAATAGAGTGAACAATGTATGCACTATTCATTAACGGGGTACATGGTTTTTAGACTGTCATGTTATCACATATTTATATATGATAAATTTATTAACTTTTACATGATTTTTAGACTCTCATCTGATCACATAATGATATATGATAAATTTGTTAATTTTTTATAATAATAATTTTAAAAATTATATCAATGATGATTTCTAATTGATTAATGATATAAAATTTCTTCCACATTGATGCACACAAATTAAATTCATCAACATAATAGGTAGTTCAGATTATATTTAATTATAATAAATCTAACATGACTAAAATTAACCAATCTCATCTTTTTTTGCTTAGACAGTTAATATATATGAGTGTATAAGAAATGTTGACTACACTCTGTCTAACACTTTCCAACAATATTTTTTTTACGATCGGTTGAAAATTATAAATTTTGGTGCGTCCTACCATTGAACAAGGAGAGAGACTCATTAAATGAGATACAAGATCAACAAAAATTGTGATTTTCACAGAATTTTGACCATTTGGTGTTTGATATTTGTAGGAAATCTGGCCAGTTTGCCACTGATTGTAGTTCCAGCTATCTGTAAGGAACAAAATAACCCTTTTGGAGATGAGGCTGTTTGCAATAGAAATGGACTGGCATATGCTTCTCTGTCAATGGCTGTATGACACTTGAAAGATTTGGAATTTAACTACTTGAAAATGGAGTTGGGGTTAGAGAATTAATCAAAATAAAAAAAAATTCACTTTGTTCCTGGTTTTTCAGGTAGGATACACTTATGCTTGGTCTATTACATTCAACATTGTCCGTATATATTCACCAAAGATCTCCAATGCAGTCAAAGTTGATGAATCCACTGTAACTCCAATATCTGCAAAAGGAACTGATCCAGAAAACCTTTTAAAATGCTCTGATGGAGCATTGGTCATGGCTGAGGATATAGCAAAGCCTAATGGTGGCATGGATCAACCTGAAATTGAATGTAAAGTTGTTGATGGGCAAGCCCAGGTGGTTGTCTTTTCTAATAAAGTTTACTATTCAGTTAGTCCATATAGTTCTCTCTATTTTAAGTTTTAGTCCCAATATGAGAAGAATTGTAAGCTATTGTCCCTGCACATGCATAAAAGTTAAGTTTTGGTCCTAACACTAATACTAGCTGTATATAAGCATGTTTGAATATAAGTTTAGAAGAACTTTTTAAGAGTTTTTCTATTTAAAAATACTCTTTATTTTATATAGAGAAATTCTCAAAAACTCTCCTACAGTATCCAAAGAGTCTCTATAACCACTTCAAAATCTTTGTAGTGATGATAAACCACTACAAAGACCATGTAGAGAGACTAAAACTTAATTTACTCTTATAGGGACTATAACTTAAAATGAGAATAAGAACAACTATAGGACCAAGTGAATAGTTTAAACTTTAGGTTAATATTTTTGTATTGCATGAAATTGTGTCCTCTTACAATTTAACCAATGGTGTCTCAAATATTGGAATGCATTAAAACCTTTTTGCTGTGACCCCAGTAACATCCATCTCTAACTTATATCAGCAAAAGATGCTAGTTTCTAATTTACTGAGAACTGATATTGTTTGGCTCAGAATTGAATTGTATGGAATAAAAAAGAGAGATTGACAGTTTAGGCATAACCGGTTTGTTCAATTGCGAGAAAAGTGAAAGGGATACTAGGATTGAAATGCAATATAGCATGACTTAATATCCTAAAGATTCGATAGAAGTTATGTCCTACATTTTTTACAGGTACCAGTAAAGCTGAAGATTATGAAAAAGTTGAAAATATTAGCCGACAAAATCAACAACATGAAGATTCTAATTGCACCTTCGACGATAGCAGTGGTAAGTCCATAATTCTCCTATTAGTGACGAACATGTTTTTTTTTAAGGCATTCATTTGAAGGTGATTGTATATAAAAAAGTATGGGATGAGGTATATTAGTTACAAATCTTTCAAGTGTCATACAGCCATTGACAGAGAAGCATATGCCAGTCCATTTCTATTGCAAACAGCCTCATCTCCAAAAGGACTGAACCAAATTAAATTTGATATGTCTGAGTCAGTGTCAGTTAGACCAATACCTCCTATTTTCTAGTCTTAGACTCTGAGTATCTAGAAATCACTTTGGACCCTAAACTCCCAACACAAATTTTTTCCAGTACACAAAATTTGAACTCAAGATCTTTCTTAACGAGAATCAAGCTCTTTGCCACTTGAATCAATAGGTTTTTGTAGACCAATGCCTCCTTTGGAAAAGCTTTAGCTATTAAATTGTTTAACTTTGATGCTTGATGAGAGCCATTTTTATCTTATGACAATGGAAAAGGGGGAGGATAGCAAGGGCGGAAGTTACTACGTTGAAACATTGTTAAACATTGACACTTCCTTTTACTTCTGTGTCTGCAGATTGTTGGTTTGACAATTGGTGTTGTCCCTCAATTTCGAAAACTACTAGTTGGTGACACTGCTCTTCTCCATGTGGTTCAAGACTCTGTAACCATGCTGGGGTGAGTGATGTCTACCACAAAAAATGATTGTATGGTCAAAGACTAGCACGTGTTCATCATCCGGTCAATCTTCATATGACATGTAGCCAAGTTTTATTAACTTTTTACCATAAATTGATAAACTCGGCTACATGTCACCTTTATATTGGTCAGATCATGGACACATAATAGTCTCATGCCAAAACCAAACAATAATAAGTTATTTGGCTGTACTTTTTATTTTCCCTTCTTCCTGGTTTTCAGGGATGCAAGTGTTCCAGCAATGGTCTTATTGCTTGGGGCAAATCTTGTTACAGGTAATCATTTATAAATCAATAACAAGAAATTTTCAATTTTTTCTTTCATCTCTTGGGTTGAGTTCAATACAGTAGTTACATTGAAAATGAATGTGAGGACATAAATTGGATGCTTTTCAGGTTTAAAAGGATTTGGAAAGCAACTTCCACTTATTGTTGGCATTATTGTGGTTAAATTTATTGCCATGCCAGCAATAGGTATAGCCATTGTCAAAGGTGCAGTTTATTTCAACTTGATCCACCATGATCCACTGTATCAGTTTGTTTTACTCCTTCAATTTGCTCTCCCACCTGCGATAGTCATGAGTAAGATTTTTATGATACTGAAACATTTGTATTAGTAGTTTGCTGTGCATTACTAGTCTCTTATCTTAGATAACTTGTAATGTTAAAGATTTTCGAAAGGAACTGGATGGAAGTGCAAGAGTAATTGCTGGTGATATGATATCACAAAATTTTGAAAGATAACATAGACTAGAGATTCAAAACAAACTTCAATGGTGCCAACAACATCACATGCTCAAAAACGATTGTTCTAATGCAAAGGCATTTAATCTCCACATAGCAGTAATACTTCATTCCTTGACACTAAGTTGTTTCAGAGTCTCCCAGATAATAATTATATTTTTATGGAAGTCTGAAAAAGGAAGCTTGGGACTCAATTCATAAGTTGAATGAGTTGTTTAGAAATTGAAGGAGAATGTTAAATGATATATACACATTGAAGAATGATATATACACATATCTATCCAGTGACAGTATGCCTAAACTCAAATTTCACATGAGCAAGCATCTATCCTTATCAAAATAATGGCATTGTTTATTCTTCACTTAGGGTCTTTAGAGTAAACTTTTTTACAAAAGAAATATAGGAAGAAAAAATAAAATAAATTTCTTCATAAGTTAAAATTAGTTTACACAGAAGTTAATTTGTAAATGCTCTCTCCTATTAGTTTCTTTAAGATCTTATTTTTAATTGCATAAGCTAATTTTAGTTCATGAAAAAACTTATTTTAATTTTCCTTCTTATTTTTGTCTCCTAGAAATACTTAAGGAGAGATTTATTCAATCAGACCTTAAACCTATTTGCATTTCCAATATGTTTTATTTAGTTCATGTCCGCATGTAAAGGTTTATTTTCAATATGGCAGTCCATAGCATTTAGTTGGAAAAAATGTTAATTTTATGACTGTTCCAGGTACAATTACTCAAATGTTTGGAACTGGTGAGAGTGAATGCTCATCTATCATGTTGGGAACTTATTCATGTGCTACAGTTTTGCTTACTCTCTGGTGCACAGTGTTTATGTGGCTTGTAATATAACTATTTTCTATTGCAAGATGTTTTTTTTGATGATTCACACGTATGATTGTCAAGTGCAACTAAGGAACCAAACATTTGAAGGAAATCTTGCTAAATTAGGACTGGTAGAAGAGGGACAAAGATTTGCACAAAGCAGAGAAGTGTGGAAAGCATACATGTTGTAACTTTATGCTATAATTTGTAGAAGCGTTGTTGCATTAAACATGAAATATAGTGTCATAAGAGATGTATCTACTATCTAATAAGAGGTCTTCCTTATGTGAGTGTGAGAACTGAGAAGAACAAATATTGAGTATTAGATTTTATCTTTAATAATTAAGATTAAAACACACATGCCATGTCAATTTTTTAAAGTACAAAATTTAGATATAGTTCTTAAAATGATTGATGTTGTTTTTCATTAAGAGTTGAAATTTTATATGCAAGTCTTATTAATATATATCTATGTTTATTATCAAGGTGAAACTTTAATTATGATTGAAAAATAGTACCAGCCAGATGTAAAGAACTATAGTTAAGTCTAAAATGCCAAAGTGACTCTTTTTTTTTTTTTTTTGCATGACATTAATGCCTCTTGTGTTATATATTAATTTAATGATAAAAAACAATGGTATTGGCTGAACATCACTACCAAATTGATAAACAAAATTAGTGAAAGAAATAAAATTTGACATATTTTTATTAAAAAAAAAAAAAAGATGAACTAAAAGTTGATATTTTAAAAATGTGGAGTTATAAAACAAACATTTACAAATTTACACGATAAAAAGATGCTTAATCCAAATTTTATTTGTGAATGTAACATAAGCAGCAGAAACCTTCACGAACATTTATAAAAGCAAACTTCACTTAACCAACAAGAGACTTGTTCATATAACACGTGGCATTTACTCAATGAAAAGAATTATAGAGATTCCTAAAAATATTATGTGTTAAAAAAAATTACTGAGAAACTTTAGAGAAGGCTTTAAAAGGATAAGTGATTAAAAATATTCCTAAACACGTTACAAAGTGTTTAAACATGAAGTGATTCTAATCTGGAAAGTATAAGGGTAAAAGAGGGATCCTTTATTATATGAACATGCTGGACAAGGAAGTATTTCATATATGCATGATCAGATTCTTTGTAGGTTTACTTTGTATTATTATTGGGAAATATTCCGAGTTATCGGAGGACAAGGAAGTTGTTATAGCACTTTTAGGACTTTATTTTTTTTGGGTATGTAATTTTATTTCCTTTATTTTAAAATAGATATATTTAATTTCTTATTTTTATAAATATAAAATTTTAACCTTATCATCAATTTGATATTTGTTAATTATAAAATTTATAAATTTCCTAGTAATCTGTCATCACTTTAATAATATGATATTTAGTAACATATATAAATAAAAATAAATAAATAAATAACATAAAAAATCTTTATTTGTATATATTTTTATGAGTGATTGATATTTATTTTATTAATAAAAAAATTATTTATATATATTTTTTTTTAAATTTTAATTCTTAAATATTATATTACTAAATATTACATTATTTAAATATGACTAAACATTAAAAATTTAATTATTAATAATTATCAATTTGACAGAAACATCAAAATTTTGTATTTATTAAATTATATGGGCGTTAAATATCTCTATTTTAAAATAGGAGAATTAATCAAAATTAAAGATTAATGAAAATAAATAAATAAAAATATAATTTAAATTTTTTTTTCATTAATAAATCTAACTCAGGTTGTGTAGAGAAACGTAGGGGTGAGCATTAAACCGACACCCGAACCGAACCCGAAAAATCCGAAGAAAAATATTGTTTTTGGGTGGGTTCGGGCGGGTTTTATGGGTAAATCGAGTTAAAATTTTGATTTTATACGGGTTATATTGGGCGGGTTCGGTTTTGAATTTTTAAATCCGCTAAAAACCGAACCCAACCGAAAATGAGATAAGTTTAAATTTTTATTATTTTTGTATAACTAAACAACAATGGTTCAAATTTAAAAGTCTTTATTTCAAGTATAATATAGCCATCAATTTGTAACTTATTTTTTTTCCTTTTTCTCATAACTTAGATATTTATTTTGTCTTCTCCTTCCTCATTCAACTTCTCAACACACTAGTCCATTTTTAGAGTTATCTTTTTGCTTCTTTCTTTGTCTTTCTTTTCCATCTTCTTATCTCCATTTTGAGTACATTTTGTGTGACTGTGATTTCTTATGGTTTTGTAATCTAACTTTATATTTCTTTTCCATGTAACAACTATGAATTTTGTTATCTTTTATTTTTGCTTCTTTAGTTTGTAAATGTTTCAACTACGAATCTATTTACACCATCTATTTTCACCTTCATTCTATTTTTATACACTATTTTAAAAATATTTTTTATCGTTTTAAGCTTCACCTTCGTTAAGATAAATTGGTCTACAAAAAAATTCAAACCCGATTATACCCACCCGCTTAAATCCGAATCCGTTTCAACCCGAACCGCCTCAAATCGAAAGCTCAGTCGGTCGGATATGGGTCACATTTTTTCAAAGTCGGTTTACAACGGGTTGGACATTTTTCACCCGAAACCGACCAAACCCACCCGTTGCCTAGAGAAACGTAAGTGTTGTATCTCCCTCAATATTCGTGTTCTATTTTCATGGATATTTTTTTTTTCTCTCTCTCTCTATCTCATGCATGTGTCTACTTTAAGCCACACGCCAGTTCCAAGGCAAGAATCCAACAGAAATAAGAAATAGGAAAAGAAGAATAATAGAAAGAATACCTTACCTTCACCAAACAAACAGATATACTCACTTCCTATGCCCACGTTTTATCATGCAATATATAGATATTAATAGGCCTTGTGCTAGCATTTCTGAATCACATTCACAAACATCATGGGAAATATTTCGAGTTACTTGGGAGGACCAGGTCACATTCTCCTTCATTTTCTGCCTTTTATTGCATGAGAATTCTAGGTTCTTTTTTTATATATATAAAAAAACATTTATTTGGTCTTACATTAATGGATATATTTCACTATAATCTGGCATATCAGGAGCTGAGTTATCATCCCAGGGGATGACTTGGATATCAGGAACACTCTATGATCGATTTATTGATAATCAAATCTATGATCCTGAAGCCTTTCACATTGCCATTCTTGATATCTTCAAGTAAGCATGTTATTTCAATGGAAATTTCAGCCATTACTTGTTTTTCCTTTAGACAAAGAAGTACTATTATTATTAATATAATAGAATCGGTTAGTACAAAATATATAATGGCCTAAAAAATGTTAAGTTTGTACGAAGTGCACATGCAAAATTCAAATCATACAAAAGGAATAGCCATAATTTACATTAGTCTAATACAATAATTATCAGATGTTATCCCACGACCTAACTCAAATTATGGATTTACAGGAGTTGATTTTCAATTTAACCATAATAGTATGAAAATGGAAATTATTTTAATAAAAAATTATTTTAAAAAATCATTTAAAATATTATGGAACATTTCAATTAACTGTAAAATTGGTTCGTTTGGGAAAATGCTTTCCTTTCTCATTCTTGAAGTTGTACCTTTCATTGGAAGAAATGTTTACTGATGGATGAAATGAAACAGTGCATTTTCACATTAGTTTTTGAAAATAAAATATAAAGTAAAAATATAATATCATTTTTATAATTATTTTTAATAACAGACATTTTCTCTAACCAAGAATCCCGCCACTGTACATCTTTTCCATACCTTGAAAGCAGAATTATATACCCCAAAACTCTATTTTATATGAGTTTAATTTTAATACACTATAAGAATTTCCACACTAACCAATCAAAAATCATGGTAGATATGACTTTTTTTTATCCATCAGAATTAGGTAGATATGACTTAAGATATCTATTGTAATATTGAATAATAGTGTAATGTGTGTGTTATTTACTCTTCCAAATATTGCCACATAACATCAGTTTTACTAATAGTTTCTAACAATTTTTTCATAGTGCTATCAACATGGCCTTGCCCGGTAAGCATTATGATGCACCAGCACACCAAGAAATAGAGGTTACTTTACTCTTCTCCCACATATGTTTAATCTACAATACATGCTTCCCTCCATAACTGACATGTTCCTAATAAGCAGGAGTTTTATGATAAATGGAATGAGGATGGTAAAAAAAAGGAAGATTTCACCAAATTTATAATTGAGAATGTGAATCTCAGCAAAGCAGATGAATCTATGATGATCACTGGGATAGTGGCTCCACCGGTTGCCATGGTAGCTAAGAAAACTGGTCAGTCTGTGCCACAGCTAAGTGCTATTAAAGCCATCCCTGATGCTGTCTTTGTTCCAGCAGCTACAATTGCATTTCTCATTGTTGTGAAGCTCTCCAGAAGAATGGCATTCAAGAATATACCATCCTAGCTTTCCCTTTTGATGCACGTGCATTGTTATCAATGTTCCATGTAACTCATGTTATTTCTAATGCAAATAATTGTAAACTTGACATTATTAAACAAAGATGAATTTTAGTGCCTATGGATATCATTTCCTTTTTACTAAGGGATGTGTGATGAAAATCTCACATCGACTATAGAGATATGAATAAAATAATGTATAGAGAAGCAACCCTTGCCTAATGAGTTAGCTTTTTGAAGTTGAGTTAAACTCAAATTCAAATTCTAAAATGATATTTTGGTCTATTATAACTAACGATTGTTGTCATGTCTTTCAAATCCATTATTATCAAATCATTTTCAAATTACCCATAGATGTTCAATCTATGTAATGAAATGTTTATTGAAAAACACACATAGAGAAAATATATAAATAAAGTAATGTATATAAGTGAAAAACAATCATCATCTCAAACTAACTTTTGGGATTGAATTAAACCCATCTAAAATTCATATAATGGATTCATCATTTATGTGACCTAAGAAATCACAAAAAGTCACATTCTAAGAGTAATAGAAACACGCAAATGATTAAGATTCTCAAGATAATAGCGTAGAGATGGTGATGAAAGATAGCCAACAGTGTTAATCAGATTTTTTTAAGATTATACAGTGCATTTGCTGACATTCTGTTTTGAAAACCAGAGCACAGCCTTTGTGCACCAATCTACTTTGATTAGTTTTGTTTTTCATCATCTATGTTGACAAAAGACAACGTAAATCAGTACATATAATGAAAATATATTACTGACCATTAAACAAGTCAGAAGAGTGCACATAGCTATTACAATTCACACAAACGAAATTGACACAACATGAATATTTCAATAAGATGTGCAAAATCAATATTTCTAAGATTCAAAGCAAAATCAATAATCTATAAAGGTGCAAAATCATCCCTTTGCAAATATGTCAAAAAGACATAATAAGGTACAGTTTCATACTTTCATTCAAGTACTAATAACAGTTCCAACCTAAATCAAAAAACATGACTAACACCATCCAATAAATTAAAATAAAAACTTCCCCATAAGGAATAGAGCATGCTACCACCATACACATTATGTACAATTGATATAATGCCTCTGTGTAACAGAGTATAAAACATTTAACTAGCATTTACACATTACGACAGAAGCAGACTGCAACTTGTTGGAGAAATTCTCAGTTCCTTCCCTTTAGCTTGAGCCAGATTTCTTCCTTCTTTTCCGTTTGCTCGTAGAAATATTTGACATCAACGTAGAACATGACATCCAAGTAGAATGTTCATTAACCAAATTCTCAGGGGGAGCAGGTTCTGAAACTTGAACCTCCAAAATGAACTTATCCTCTTGAATTGACTCGTTGGTTCTCTTTAAAAGGCGATTTGCGTCATACTTGCAATCATTCCACTCTTCCCTAGCTGCCTGATTTGGTACAAGAACTTCATCCTTGATCTGCACATAAGAAAATGCCAAAATTACAAATTCACAAAGATTTGTAAAATATATAAAGGAGGTTGTTCAATCCTTTCAACATACAAGCTCAGACTGCTTGAGCCCATGATTATTAAATTGTTTGTCATTAATTCAAATATTCAAACAATAATTGCAGGCTTGCATTGCAGCACACGTCACTCACAAATGTAAATCCAAGCATGGGAAATGAAGACTGCAATTTCACACCAAAAAGTGACATGGATACGAATTACTATTACACAGCATTACGGCAAGTAGGATATATGACATGGCATGGATATAATCATGAGAATACATAAAGACAATTTCTAACGATTATTATGCACACAATTATTTATGAAGTAGTTTCAAATTTTAAAATAAAATAATGTTATGATGACATGTACAAATATGGACAAGAAAAGTATATCATTAGCATCACCAATATTCATTTGAAAAAACATTGGGTTGAGCATCTCAATTTTTTCCCCCACCATAAATTATATAACAAAAAATAATACAGGACACATCTATAACTTAATTTCGGTCTTCATGAATTACATTTTTGTAATTGCTTAAGAACAAATTCAACCCAAAAAAATTTGAATAACAATAGAATAAGGTTATGGAACAATTTGAGCTAAATTTCACTCTACACAAATGTTCCGCCTTTCCACAACTCTTCCTATATGTAACTTTACAAAACTTCTCTAACCTTATGTTCCATTCATCAATGGAAATCATCACGATTCTGCTCACTAAGCTCTCTCTATTCCAATAGACCCTACTCCACCCTACACAAACAAATGGAACCCCCCAGATGCTGATGCTCAGATTATTTATTTCTGTACCAGATCAGGTTTTTCCAACAATGAAATAAATTTCCTTGCTGGCCTGATTCTTAAATTATATCCATATATGAGCTATGTCTAAGATCTGTCACTAAGCACACAAATGAAGGGAAATGCATGGATATGCAATAAGTAGCCATATTCATGGGGCACATTGACCAATAATATGACACATCCTACCATATTCGTGCTTCATGGAAGAGCTACAATAGCATGGTTGTCAATCTCGAATGACAACTTGCAATAACTACCGAGTTTACGAGATTGGTCAGTCTCACCTATACAACTCGGAAGCAAACTTGTTTTTGAGCAATCTCGTCCCCTTTGTTGTTAAAAGAAAAAAAATTGTCTTTTCTTAGTTTTTTGTTTGCTATTTTAAGAACTTGTATCTTGTGTGAAATTTTACATGATTTGATACTAAACATTGCTATTTTAATATTGTAATTTGTTATTTTATGTTAATATGGAGTTGAAATATTGCTTGAGGGTGTTGATTGATCAATGTCAAAATTTATTTTCTGCACTAGAACTTAGGGTGTGCTTCAAAGTTGATATTTTGTTGTACAAAGTTGTCAATCTCGAGAGATTACATAATTTCGTTGAGACCGCATAGGGTTTATAAAAAACAAGTTCCATACACCAAACATTATTAAAAATATTGACAAAAAAGAAATCAGAACAATAAGCTAGGTAGAAGTTGTGTGGCAGGGCAATCATTCTGAACAACTTCCTTCATGGATATCTTAACAGAAACTTACATGGATGGTACTAGCAATTAGAAAAACCAAAAGCACGAGGAAAGCAATGGAAAATTCTTTTGTTACAAAGATAGAAAATGTCAAGCATAAACTAATGCACAACCAATATGGCAGAAAATTAGAAAACTTTAAATTACGTGTGTTTGTATATAAAGCTTACATCTTCCCATTGATCATTAAGCTCAGGACTATTAGTGGTTTCAACAAAGGGAATTATCCCTTCACGACTTGCTGATGCATTTCCAGGCATTAGTAGATCTCCCAAGTGAAACTCGGATTGAAGCTGAGACAAGGAATGAGGAAAACTAAATGAATATGTGTTTCAATTATCAGCAAAAGTGGACTTTAGATCAAAATGATTAAATTCATTGGATGGCCCATGCATGCTCAACTGAGTTACGGAACAAAACTTTCCGCAATTTTCACTAATCACCGTGTCAGTTCTAGTTTTTAATTTCTGAACTTGTGACTGTACAGCTTCAATCTTTTGAATGATGTCATCCAAGGATTTATCAATATGTTCATACTCTATAGAAGACCACTCATCATTCAGCTTTAATTCCTCATTACTATCATTGACACCTGATATTAAAAACAAGACTGTAGAATTAGAAACTTAAAATTCTCATGGAAACACACAAATGAATAAAACATGAAAATCAAGATGAAAACCTGTGCATTGAATTCTTTGTGCTTGTTTGATCCAAAGTTTCACAGTTATATGATGAGATAATATATTTGCAAGTTACATATAAATAACAAAAACAGTACCATGCATATTACTTCTACTCACCCAAACCAACATCACGAAAATCCTTCAAACATGTATCGACAGTACAATCTTTCTTCTCTGAAAAAGACAAGAAATAATTATAAAACAAAAAGCGTGGCACTAATAAATACTATAACAAATGAAGAAACGACATACCATAGTAGGAGAATAAACTATGGTTGGACATGTATGATGCTTGATCACACTGCTCTTCAACTCTTTTTCGTCTGTTCCTCTTCATAATGTTATTCCTATGCATCCGACCATATCTAGGGACTGATTTGATATTAGAGTCATCTATTGTTAAGTGTGCAAAATCTAGCTGCTTTGTGTAATTGTATGCCGCAAGCTCTTTCTCATATTTACGTGCTTGAGACTGAAGTTGCTTCATCCGCAATTCAATCCACTTACAGCGCCACCTAATAGGACGTATGAACCTCCTCCAATGAATTGTCAAACTTTTTGGCATCCTTTTTTCTCTGAATGGTTAATAGAGTAAATTGTATAAAATAAAATATACAAATTATTGACATTCAATTCAAACATATCACTAACTTTAATCACGTTAAAAACAACTGACTAACTCAGAACTTTAATTCAGAGCTGACCATATTACTTGACTTGTATCAAAATGAAAATCTAATGTCAGTCTTAAAAAGCAAGACTAAAATAAGTTGCCTCAGACTTTCAGACGTATTTTCAATTAAGGCAAGCACAAAAAACTGATATAAGATTACAGTTAGAACGATTGGAAGATAGCTGTAACACACATTCCTTATGCATGTGACAAGATTTAGTAAATCTCAAATTCAGGGATATAGCTATTTTAAGGTAAATCAGCATCACATAAAATATACAAACTTATGCATCTAATGTAATATACTGAATTTGGTATATAAACTGCAAGACAAACAATTATTGACATTGACACTTGAAGCGCAAAGTTCGCTATTTGAATCATGCAATGTGATCCAATGCATGCTCACAGTCTTCTGAACTGTAACTATGAATCAATAACGGCTATGAATCATGATGACAATGATCTTATATTCAGGCAAAAAAGGAATAATAGCTTCTAACAGCCTTGTTCAAAAAGTTGACTTTCTTTCACGAAAATTAAGGGTGGAGAGGAGATAAAATGGAGTGTAGGCATGAGGATATTTACAGTTCTCAAATTATTAAATTCATTTTTATCACTGATGTTTTTATTTGTTTATCGAGTAAATTCACTTTTCACATACCTTCTCTAAGACTTGCAAAACCTAAAAGCACATAAACTATATAGTTTTAAATCTTGATTGCACTGGCCTTGCCTAGGGTAAAGATGTTTTTGGAAATTGAGACAAGATGTGTAAATTGTAAAAGTATCTCTCCCCCTATGGCGCACCAACTACATGGGGAAACAAATTCAACAGCAGTAACCAGGGGAAATATGGAACATAATCACAAATAAACATAGAAAGAATGATGAATATACTTCACTCCTTAAGAAAAACAAAATCATTTCAACTTAATCGATCTTTAGACTAACACATTCCCAAAGCCAGAGGTCTCCCAATAACTGTTGTCAAATTGACAAGCCTTCACAATGGGATTAACCAATAATCGCAAAAGTAATGTACCTAAAGGGTTAGTGTTCATAGGAAAAGAAAGACGTGCACAAAGGCATGTGATATAAGTTTTTTTTATTCATCTTTTCTTCAATTTCTACATTCTTGCTACCTATAAACATGTCAGAAAAAAACAGATTCCTGAAAGAAACAATTTGAAGTGAAACATACCTTCTTTCACATGATTCGTACCAATCATCACACATTGATGAGGATGGATCATCAGCACACCTGCGTGATTCAACTTCAGCATCACTGAAAGACGAGACATTCTCTGCACCAGATCCTGTATAATCGAAAGAACTGGAATACTCAGTGGCATCCTCACAAGAATCTTCCACCACAAAAGCTTTCCCCAAATTTGAGCCCCCAGTGATGTTAACTTCCACATCCTCATTTCCACCAGAAGAAGGAATTTGTTTGATCGACTTAGGTTCCTCACCACAGGCATCATCACACATGTAGACTTCAACAGGCACCAGAACTTCTTGACCCATTTTCACAAATCACTCAAATTCACTGTTCAAATATCAAACAAAGGCCTCAATATATGAGAAAATCACAAGGTTCCTCGAAAATCAAGTACACCACAAACCAATAGCATATAAGAAATAGTTTTCACTTCAGTTTGTGAAATTCTTATAATTCTCGTAGAAAATACCTAACAAAAACCACTACATTCTTCATAAAAGCACATAGTAATTATTTGTCTTGTTATGAATCATGAATTATATATTAATATTCCAAACAATTTGTCATGCACCACACACTAACCATTGACACAAAATAAATCTTGATCCAAATGGAATGTGTAAACCACCCACACAGAATATTCAAATATTACGACCTAAAGAACAATTCCAAAACTGATTAATCATTAATCATATACTAAAAAGTTCACTCTTTTTCAATTCTTTAAGCGGAAAAGAAAATACAGAAACAATAAACTCAAGGGGCACAACTTGCTATCCGAATTTTAGTTCTCACTACAAACATCGGAACCACAAAAATTTTAAAAGATAAAACCTTCCATCTAGCTTCAGATATTCAAAAAAAATAATAATACACATTCGTTTCGTCAAATATCTCAAAAATCTAAGACCAAAAAAGAAATAAGCATTATTTGAAAAAGAAATACTCTTACCCATGAACTAGAATCTGATTCTCCGAAGGAGTGGGAAAAAAGAGAAAGATTTTGGAAAGACTCAACGACAGAAATCTCCTTGCAGATTATTTTTATTTAGAGTAAATAATATATTTCAATATTTTATTTATTAAAAACATTTAAAAATTATTAATATTTATTAAATAATGATGAATTGTTTTTGTTGATGGGTGAACTGTTTATAGCTTACTCATTTTTAACTTAAAAAATTTCTAGATATATATATACCAAGTGCTTGATTGTTATGGATTTCCCGGTCTATTTTATTCTTAAAAAGTATTATCCTCTTCGAGTACTTATGTTTTGTATTATTAGATTTAGGATTATTAAAGTTTGAAAATTTAAGTTTGAATAAACTTTATTTTGAAAACTGACTGATTTTGCAAAAGTAACTTTCTCTACGTATAATTTAAACTGAATTTCAAGGCAAAATTGAACCAAAAGTCGGTTAATAACCGGACTCAACTAAAAATTAAATAGAAGACTTTTATTTTTACTTTCTAAATGGATATTAAGCCTCTTAACTAATAAATATACACTTACTCTTTTTTATTTTTATAATACACTATATCTTACGTTTATATTCGGTGTTTCTAAGACACGACTGACATACGAGGATTGATTTGAAATTTAATTTTTACTTATCTATAAAATATTTGGTCGGAAGTCACATCTCATAATAAGTAGATATTAGTCATCAATTATGAATTTTGGGATAAAGCATGTTTATTTACTAAAAAAATATATATATATTTTGTGTGTGTATATAATACTTCAACCGGTTTTGAATACAAGAAAGATAAAAAAAACTCATGGCTGTTCAAATATAAATAAATATCAACTAAATTTACTATATTTAATACTATAATCTCTAAAATATTTTTATTTTATTTTATTGAGATAATATTTTTAGTGACTCTTTTATATATTCTAAGAAATGATAGTTTATCTTTTAAAGGAGATTAGTGCAATTAAATGATATTAGTTAAATCTTTTTTTTTAAATAATGTGAATTATTTTTTTTGTTGCTTATGTTTAAAATTGGAGGGGTATATTTAGGGATAACAAAATAAATACCACTTGTAGATATCCGTAGATAATATCTGTCATAGATAAAAAAAAATGTGTATTTTTAATGGATACCCAAAAGTAACGACTACAAACATTTTTTATATTTGTACATGTAACGTGATTACATGCTAATATTAAATTATTTAATTTATGTGGTTTTTTTATTAGGGGTTTTATGTAGTTTTCTTTTTATAATGGTTTATTTTTATGTAGGCTTTTTATACAAATCTTATTTATGTATATTAATTTTATTTTATGAAAACTTTAATGAAGATTTTATTTTATAGTTTTTAAATGCAAATTTTATTTTATGCAATTTTTTTTAATTATGCAAATTTTATTTTATGTAGACTTTATGCAGATTTTTATACAAACTTTTTTAGTAAATATACGTAAGTTCCATGAAAATATGTGGATATTAAAATTTTTTTGCATGTAACTATTTAATAAATATCCATGTGAATATAAAAAGAGGTACAAACATATATTTATTTAACGTGAAAGATAATAAAAACATACTACTCGTACTCTTATCACCGTGTATTCGTACTCATTCCCATCCCATCGAGTCAACATCCCTACTCATATTATGGTGTTAATAATATTGGTAACCCAACGTCTGATATTATTTTTGCACAACGAAATTAAACAAAAATGTATGAAATTATGAGAGAATTAGAAATGTATAAAATAAAATGAATACTACAAAAGAAATAACTAAAAAGATATATTATTATAGAAAGAATTATAAACAAAAATCTTTAAATAATGTAACTCTTATATAATTATTACTTAACAAATCGGTTTTAGTTACTAATTACAATTGATAACATATTGAGTAATATTATTTTCAACACATTCATGATGTATCTTTTATAATAGGAGAGATAAGGAAAGAAAGAAAAATTGAAAAAAGTGGAGCCATGAAAATAAATAAACGAAAAAAGGAATTACAACAAAATGGAAAGGGAAAAATTTATTGATTGAATGTAAAAATATTTTTGGGCCTTCTCGATTGAAATTTAAATATGACTGAAACTAAATTAGGTAGTCTTTAACGTAAGAAATTTTACAATTATAATACTTGCAATACACTTTTACACTATTAAAGAAATCACTTCTTCCATCTTAAGAAGCATTTGCTTGTAGCACCTCACTACAAGATTTTCCTTTTCTTAAGAAATCTACTTAAAAAAAACACAATACAAAAAGTTAAGGAATGAATTCACTTAATGTACATAACAAATTAGAGTAGCCCAGAGCTATTGTTAGTGATCAAGGCACCCATTTTTGTAACAGATCTATGCAGGCTTTGCTCAAGAAGTATGGGGTAGTGCACAGAATTTCTACACCCTAACACCCCCAAACCAATGGGCAAGTTGAAATTTTAAACAGGGAGATCAAGAGAATCTTAGAGAAGATTGTCCAGCCCAACAGAAAAGATTGGAGTAAGAGGTTGGAGGATGCTCTTTGGGCGCATAGGATTGCCTACAAAGCACCCATAGGAATGTCTCCTTATCGGGTTGTCTTTGGCAAGGCATATCATTTACCTGTTGAGATTAAGCATCGGGCCTACTGGGCTGTGAAGACCTGCAACTTCTCTATTGATCAAGCTGGTGAGGAAAGGAGGTTGCAACTAAATGAGCTTGATGAGATTCGCTTGGAAGCCTACGAGAATTCAAAATTCTACAAGGAGAAAACCAAGAAGTTCCATGACAGCTTGATAGCTAGGAAGGACTTCGTGGTTGGCCAGAAAGTTCTGTTGTTCAATTCTCTGCTCGGACTCATGGGTGGTAAGTTACGATCAAAGTGGATTGGACCTTTTTTTGTTACTAATGTTTATCCTTATGGTACAGTTGAGATCAAAAGTGAATCCACAGATAAGAGCTTTAAAGTCAATGGGCACCGGCTGAAGCCATTCCTCAACAATCCATCTTTGTTGAATGCAGTTGTAGAGGAGATGTCTTTGCTTGACCCTGCTTCTCTCGCACCATGATTTAGGGAGTTTTCTTTCCCTCTCTCCTTCTTTACTTTTATTGCACATGTCCAATTCTGTTGATTGTTCTGATTGCTCTGATCTTCTGTTTGTGCCACATTGGGACAATGTGTGATTTAAGTGTGGGGGGAACTGTTTTGGTTATATGCTTTTAGGGTTTAATTGTTATTTTTGGGTCTAGGTTTTATGTTTAGTTGTTATGTACAGTTTTGCATGTTTCTCTTTGATTTATGGGTTTTGATAGTTTGTAGGCACTTACTTCATTCTTGGACAGAAGTTTCTTGATACTGTATGGTTTGAAATCCTTGCTTTTCTCTGCTTGGAAAGATGATTTTGAGGTTTGAGAGGTTGTTTTAATTGTGACAGATATACCCTGTGTGAGGATTTGAGACAGATATACCTTGTGTGAGGATTTAAGCCACTCTCTGTTTTTTCTTATGTGTTATGCCTCTTGATTGCTTGCACAGTTGCCTTGTCTTGACTCTGTTTGATACTTCTTGATTCACATGCATGTTTGGATATGATTAAGGCATTTTGATTCTCATAAGCCTCTAGCCAAATAAGCCTACTTTGAATTAACTCCTCTGATAACCCCTGCTGAGCCTATTTCCCCTTCTTTGTTTGAAGCTCATTACAAGCCTTAAGCGAAAAACCATGATTACCTTAACCTTAGGGAGTTTTGGAGCTTTGGAATTGTTTTGGGAATAAGTTCTTGAATAAGTGTGGGGGTGTGTGTATGTTTCATTGGATGATGTATATTGGCTAGTTGATTCCTTATGTTGTACACTTTACTTCTCTGCATGTTATCTTATCTCATTTTAAATTTTCATGTGTACTGTTCACTACATACAGGTCATTTAAAAAAAATAAAAAAAAAACCAAAAAAAAAAAAAAAAAAAAATGAAAAAGAGAAGTTGTTTGAGGCAAGAGAAAGAGGATTGATCATCATAGAGGTCATTAGAGGTTTCTGGGTTTGTTTCTTGTGCGTATTCTTGACTTATTCCCCATTGCTCCTCTGGTTCCTCTGGTTTGTAGTTACTTATCCCATATATTATCCTTTACCCTGTCCTTGGCCTCATTACAACCCTAAAAAGACCTTTTGATCCTTATGTGCATGTTTGTTGGGTGTTGATTTTAGAGGCTTTCCAAGTCTATCTGTTGCTTGTTTTTCATGAGTGCTTTGAGAGTATACAGTTGCCTAGACACTTGAGAGATACAGTGATACAGTGCATCTTGTGAGGTTCTGTTGCTTTTGATTCACCTCTTGAGCTGATTGATTGTCTTGCCATGTTTTGAAATGCTTGGATGATTTCCATCAGTATTTGGTTTCTCTGACTCTTTTTGTGTTGGATGTTGTCTACTCCTTTTCTTTTCCCAGGATTCATTGAGGATTGTGTAAATCTGTTTGTTTTCTTGTTTGTATTCTTGTTTTTGTTTCTTCCTGTTGTGTCACTCTCTTTGATGTCTCTGGAATTGTTCCTTGCTCTGCTTTTTTATTTTGCCCACGAGTGCAAAAGGCTAAGTGTGGGGGAATTTGATGAGTCAATATTTTCCCCTATTTTCTTACCTTTCTGTACTTATTTTAATCTATGATTTGTGCTTAATTGTTTATATTCTGCACTGTTTTCTATTTGGGATTTAATTGGACCGGTAATTCATATTTTAACTAATTTGAATTTTCTGAATCTAATTATTCCAAATTTTATTTCCAGTGCAGTTTAATAATTATTTGGGCTTAGAATTAATTTAGGACTTCAAGTGGAGCTGCCACATCATCCTCCACGTCATCTACCATGTCACCGCTGCACCATTTTCCACCTCAGCATTTATTTTCAGTCTTTACTCTATTTTATTGTAACTTGGGTCAGACTTGATTGTTGGGGGCCCAATTTCGTTTTAGGTCATTTAGGTCTAGGGTAGGGCTGACTTGGCAGCCACTAGCATGAGAGTCTGATATGACTACGTAGCTAGTTGCCTCTCTTTGTTTGGTATTCATTTTTTTCTCTCTGGAGCTACAGTTTTACGTTTTTGGTCTCTTTAGCTATTCTGGACGTTTTGTTTCTTTTTGGAACTTCTGAACTCCATTGTTATTCACGTTTTTCTTGCTCTCTGTTGGGTTTTTACATTTTGCTTCTTCTCCAGTCACGTTTTTGTTGCTTTCTCTTCTCTTGTTGTAAAAACTATTTACATTTGAAGAATTTAGATTACTCATTTCTTGTTCTCCTTCCTTGTATTTTCGTTTCTATTTCCGTTTTATTTTCTGTTTGTATTTTCTTTTCTGTTTCTGTTTCTGTTCTATTTTAATGGAAGGCTAAAAACCTCTGGGTTGGCTTCTTGTTGTGGATTGTAATCTCTATTTGAGGTTCGGTTATGGTTGTATATCTTTGTTCTGCTTTGTCTTCATCATTTAACCTCTGTATCAATGTGTCCATGCTTAATGGGTTGTGCTCAATGCCACAGTTGCTTAATCTGTGAAGAGGTTGATGTTGTATACGTTTGCTTAATTCGTGTAGGGAAATCTTGAGTTAATCTTCGCTTAGTTGGTTAACTCGGATGGAACAAGGATTAAGAGATTAATAGAGTAATCTTTTGAGAACCAGGGATAAAATAGTTACAATCCGAACAAGGAGCCAATCTATTTTACTTGTTGTGTTATCTATGTTTTATTGTGTTATAACTGAAATCTGAACCAAACCCCCCCTCTTCGTATTTAAGCCTTTAACAGTAAAAGACGGTCCTTGGGAGACGACCTAGGAGTGACTTCCTAGTACTACATTTAATTGCATTTATTTGACCGGATACGGCTTCGATCACCGGCACATTTACAACTAGAAACCCTTGAAAATCTCTAAAATTCCTTCCTAACATGAACCCAATCCAAATTACACGAGTTCGAACCATTACATAGCATAAACACTATCCAAAAACAACATATTAAGCGATAAAATCAAGTTTTAACCATTAATCCATGGAAATCATGAAGAAACCTAACCAAACCCTTTCCCCTCAATCCAACCTTAATCATGCATAAAACATTGAATCAACGTGAAACCCATACATACTAGATTAAGTCTTATAAGTACTACCCTTACCTTAGAAACCTCAGAAATGCAAGATTTGGATAAAACCCTCAAATCCCAACTCAGACCTCAATCTCACTTTTCAAGCTTCTAGAGGCTAAATCTCTTAATACTCTAGTTGTGAAGATTGATCCTGGCTTGATAAGCTTCCCAAATGTGTCCTCAACTTTCCTCTGGACTAGAGTCCCTCTCTCTAGTTTCTCTCTCTAGAACTATCCTTGTCTGACAAATGAGACCCTCCGGTCCTAAGTCCCTATATATAGCCATTTTCCGAAATTTCCAAATTTCACCCTTAGCAACTATTCACCTCAAAAATTCTATTCCTTGAAGTATTTCAACTCCCTAAGCTCTAAAACAACATCAAATTCACTCAGAAAGACCGGATTTATTTTATGTTCCTATCCTTCAATCTCCTACACATCCTATTCCTTTCCATGCAATACGCACAACTCACCACCATATGAAATGCAACATGTATTAACACACAAACAAACATCACTTTTAGATACATATGCTTGGAATAATGAGTTGCATGCCATAATACTTCACTTAACTAAGATGAGAAGGAAGGTGATCAGTCTTCTTCCTTCTTAGTACCAATTCAGTATAATGGTGTACAATGCATCATTCACCAAATTCATGCACACACATGCCTATACAAACCTCTCAAAACATCAACCTCTCATCTCATACTATAAAATCACTACCATGCTTAAACAACTAATCAAAACTACATCAACATACAACATGCACAGAGGTAAGTACATTTCAAATCCACATCTCCATAATCCAATCCAAATCCATATAAACAACATATACATACATGCATATATACATACATATATATATATAGTATATCTATCAAATAGCTCGGTATTTCCATGGCGTTACACATGTAATGGACATGGAAAACATTTTATGATGCATGTGGCGCTAGTAACACATATCACATGGCGTATTGTCGCTAGAAATACACGAGAGTAGTCTAGGAGTATATGCCAGGTCACACCCTCTATGCACTCTCACTAGAAGGACATACTACCAGGGTCTCATCGGGATAGCTAAGCCGCGCAAGATACATCCCATGCACACAACGGGCGAGACTGGGACTTACAAATCGAGCTATCCCCAAGGAGTAATCTCCAAGCTTTTACACAAAGGGGTCTTCCCTGGTGATGTATTCCATATCGTACCCTTAAAAACATTTATGCAAATGATGCATGTCAATCACGACCATATGCATTCTCATATCATATTATCATGTCTCATTTTCATATCACATTGTCATGTCTCATTGTCATATCACATCATCATGTAACATTATCACATATCCTCACATCTCATGTCTCATATTAACATTTCACATTATCTCATCATATTCACATAGTCTCCACAAAGCACTTTAATTCATATCAAAACTTGTCTATTTGCAAAAGTAAACATATTCGTACATCTCATTCAACAAGGAATACAACAGAACAATCAAAAGGTAAAACATAAAATATGAGAAATTTTCTTGTTTCTCATAAGATTCCGACAAGAACCCACAGAGCACTCTAATTCATACAATAAACATTTAAAATAATACAATTTACTCATACAATTACCTCTTCAAACAATTTTCTCTTACAATCACCAATGCATTCCCTTAGGGTTTCCCATAGGAACTTATAGAGATCTCAAATCATACAGTTATTTACATACAAGAATAGCAAATAGAAGAAACATATATGTACTGTCCGTGTCAAGAAGCCGAGCTCGAGCTCCGCATTAAAGCACTAAATGACATTGGACATACGCCACATGACATCAGCCAGAATGAAGGCCCACTATCTACTGGGCCGAGGTCAATCTCAGGCCCAAATCAACGTTACCCTCGCCTAAGAGGAAAACCCTAATTCACATCAAGGTACGTGCACTATATATATGAGATGATTACATTATCAAAGACTAACTTTAGCATCGGAGTCTCTTTACAGGTACCGCCCCCACTTCGGAGCAGCCGACGTACCCAGCGAAGGAGGCTCACCAATCTTGCCCAACAGATCGTCCCTCTCGACCGATCTCCGGTAAGAACATTTGGCGCCCGCCGTGGGGCCGATCAAGAAATCTCTTATCGGCCACGCTTATGGTTTTCACCCGAAGCCATAGTAGACGAGCAATAGACAAACAAGATAACGCAGCAAGAATGGAAAGAGAAGCAACATTGAAACGCCTGATCGAGCAGGTCGATCAAATGCGAAAACAACACACTGCTGACCTGAAGAACATGCACGCTCGACACAGGGCCGATCTAGCGGTGCTACGAGCTGAGAACGAGCGCATCCGCGCCCAGCTTCCTCAGTGCCCCCCAGATCAACCCCCTCAACCGAGCAACGAAAACGAGGAAGAAGGGCACTCGATTTCCCCACCATCGACTGCGCCCCGACCGATGACCCATAGGTCTATCAAACATCGGTCACACGTACCGACGTATAGATCAGACCATGAAGTCAGTAACGCACTGGCCCAAGCTCCAGGACACAGGGAGAGTATCCACCGTCACCTTTTTGTCGGCGGCTTCATGGAGACACCTCTCCCCTTTGGATGGAAGCCCCTCAACATCGACCGCTATGATGGCACCACCGACCCAGATGAGCACATCGATCTGTACATCACACAGGTAAACCTGTACACTAAAGATGATGTTATTCTATGTAGGATTTTTCCAACCTCGCTCAAGGGATCGACACTCGCCTGGTATACTCAATTATCAGCGGGATCAATTGATAGCTTTGACACTCTAGTGAGGTGATTCACGGTGCAATACATAATGATTCGACTGCATCACATCTCGTCCGTCGCCCTGGCCAGCCTTAGACAGGGCGACGATGAACAACTGAGAAAATTCATGGAGTGATTTGTCAGCATCTCCGTCAAGCCAGGTCCTTTCTTTGACAGCCTTTGTTGACGACCTCCCCCAGACATGGACGAACTCCGTGCCCTAGTTGTCGGGTACATTCAGATGGAAGAGCACACTACGTTCCGTGACCAAGTTCGTGGAAAACCATAGGGGAAGCAAGACCATGACCACAAAGACAAGATGCGAGTCTCCAACGACAACCAGTTCAAGAAGGCTAGACCGAACAAAGGCGGGAAGTATGACTTTTACACCCCTTTGAATGCACCCTGAGTACACATACTGGAAAAAGCTAGTAATACTGACATGATTACCCTGCCACCACTAGGGCACAACCCCAGTAACGTAGACAAATCCAAGCATTCTCGGTATCATAGAAACTATGGTCACACAACTGAAGAATGTCACACGCTCAGGGACCACATTGAGGAACTCATCCAAGGAGGGCACCTCGGACAATACGTCTAGCGACAACAATCACATAGAGGAGGCTACCATGGACGAGGACAAAGACGAGGCTAAGGCTTCGACACTCACGCGAATCAACCTTCTGGGTCTCAGCAAAACATAGGAAGAACAGTGCAAGTCAAGGTAAGTCATGACACAGGAACGACTCCCTTGCGTGGAGTCATCAATGCAATTGCAGGTGGCTTCGCAAGGGGAGGCTCCAGTAGCTCAGCGCGTAAAAGACACTTATGGAGCATCAATAATGTCCACACTGACACCTCGGCCCTACATCGCAACATGCCACTCATCACCTTCACGGATGAAGACTACACTGACATTTGCCCAAACCAAGACGACCTCATGGTCATTGCGATGGAGATAGCCAACTAGGAAGTCCACAAGACACTAATTGACCAGGGAAGCTCGACTGATGTCTTATACTGGCCGACATTCCTAAGGTTAGACATCCTGCATTCCCTCATTCAACCTCACACAGAACCCCTAGTTGGTTTTGCAAGAGAATGAGTCCACACTCGGGGATACATAAAGCTGCTAACAACCTTTGGGACACCTCCCAACTTGAAAAGAACCATGGTCAAATACCTCCTCGTCGATGCCAATACATCATACAACATTATCATAGGAAGACCGACCTTAAACCAACTCGGAGCTATGGTGTCTACCCTGCATCTGACGATGAAGTTCCTGGGAGGTAACGGCCAGATAATTTTGGTCAAGGCGAACCAAAGAACAGCTCGACAATGCTATGCTGAAAGCTTAAAGGCATCATCCCCATAAGAGGCGCAACACCGAGATGACTCCCCCACTATCGCTCACATCACTCAAGAGGACATCACTGACCTGGATCCGAGGTCGGAAGCCCATGACAACCGACCGAGTCCAATCGACAAGCTTGCTGATTTGCAAATCGGTAAACTCCCTGGCCAATGCACCAAGATAAGCCAACATTTGAGCACAGATTTGCGACAACAACTTGTAGCCAAAATCTCCAAAAATGTTGACCTCTTTGCATGGTCCAGCGCTGACATGCCAGGTATAGATCGCAACCTTATCTGTCACAGATTTGTAATTTACAAAGAGAAGAAACTGGTGCCTCAGAGGAAACGAAAGGTCAGTGGTGAGAGACGAGAAACCATCATAGCCGAAACACAAAATCTGATAAAAGTAGGGTTCATCCGAGAAGTCCGGTACACCACGTGGCTAGCCAACGTGGTGCTTGTTAAAAAGAACTCAGGGAAGTGGCATATGTGCGTCGACTACACTGACCTAAACAAGGCTTGCCCTAAAGATGCCTACCCCCTACCAAGTATTGATAGGTTGGTTGATGGAGCCTCTGGCCACACCCTCCTTAGCTTTCTGGACGCTTAATCTGTATATAATCAGATCATGATGTACCCACCGGACGAGGTGCACACGTCATTCATCACCGACCAAGCCAATTTCTATTACCGCGTAATTCTGTTCGGCCTAAAAAATGTAGGAGCTACTTATCAAAGACTGATGGACAAGGTCTTCCACCAATAGATCGGACGAAACATAGAAGTCTACGTAGATGACATGGTCGTGAAGACCACATCGGCCGACACCCATGTTATTGACCTAGTCGAAGTATTTAACCAAATACGGAAGCACAACATGAGCCTAAACCCTGAAAAGTGCTTCTTCGGAGTCTAGGGAGGCAAGTTCTTCAGTTTCATGATCACCCATAGGGGTATTGAAGCCAACCCAGAAAAGTGCAAGGCCATCATACATATGCACAACCCCCACAATGTCAAGGATGTCCAACGCTTGGTAGGAAGTTTAGTCTCTCTTTCTCGTTTCATTCCCAGGTTGGCAGAGAAAGCAGGACCTATCTTCACCCTACTTCACAAGCCAAAAAATTTCGAATGGGCTGACCAGTGTGAAGAAGCTTTCAAAAGCTTCAAAACTTTCCTAGCCACCCCATTAGTCCTACAGAGGCTGGATCATCATTCTGACCTCCTCCTGTACTTGGCAGTCGGTGAAAGTGCAATCAGCGTGGTGATGGTGCAAGAGTGTAACAAGAACCAAACTCCTATATAATACATCAGCCGAGTTCTCCAAGACACAGAGAAAAGGTACCAAACGTTTGAGAAGCTAGCCCTAGCTCTTGTCACAACCGTCGGACGTCTCCGACCCTATTTCCAAAGCCACCAAATCGTCGTCAAAACGGACTACCCAATCAAGCAAATATTGAGAAAGCTAGAACTCGCAGGGAGCATGATTGCATGGTCCGTAGAGCTATCCGAGTTCGGAATTCGATATGAAATTCGAGGCCCTTTGAAGGCCCAATGCCTAGCAAATTTTGTGGCCGAACACACCCCGACCTTAGCAAACGTCGAACAGGTTGGAATTTACATGTTGACGAATCTTCTAATTCTAAAGGAGGTGATTTAGGTATCATCCTAGAAGGTCCAAACAACGTTACCATTGAACAGTCCCTAAAATTTGGGTTCAGAACCACCAACAACCAGGCCGAGTATGAAGCATTGTTGGCAGGATTGAGGTTGGCATGAGACATTGGTGCACAGAAGGTGAGATGCAACAGTGATTCCAAGCTCATGGTGGAGCAACTCAGTGGTGTTTATCAAACCAAGGATCCGTTGCCACAACGGTATTACCATGAAACATCCAACTGGATGGCATCCTTGTAGACACCCAATTTGGTCCGGGGGCATATAAACAAGGAAATGGACCTCTGTTATGGAGGGAAGGAGCTCCCGAAGCATGCAAACTACAAGACAGGACATTAGAAGGCCCAAAAGCCCAAAAAAGCTAGTTTTATAAGCCTGGAACGGGCTGTTCCAAAATCGAAACGGGTCGTTCCCAATTTGGAACGGGCCGTTCCAAGTTCCTAAAAAGGCCTAAAACCCTAGTTTGGAACGGGGCATTCTAAGATTGAAACCGGCATTCTAAGATTGGAACGGGCCGTTCCAATATTGGAAAGGGCCGTTCCAAATTCCTCAAAAAAGGGCTAAAACCTAAACTGGAATGGGTCGTTCCAAGTTATTAAAAGGGCCTAAAAATCCTTGTTTGGAACACCCATTCCAGTCTACCAAATTATGTGTTAATCTTATTTCTGGAACGGGTCGTTCCAGTTTCAGAATAGGTCGTTCCAGTTACAAAATTAACACAGAATGGTCAGATCTAGAACGGGCCGTTCTGGAAACTTTCTGTTGCCTATAAATAGACAGCTTGGGCACAGTTCTCAGGACTCCAAAATTTTGTCCAGAATCCTTAGAGCTCTAAATTTCTCTTTTTTTCTCTCTTTTTCTCTCTTCTGTATTTCTTGAGATTTTGTGAGAAATCGTAGTGTGAAAGGTTGCCACAAAGCACCTAAAATTTGCCTATTTTGAAGATTCAATAGAGCTCATTCAAGAGGTATTTCAATTAATCTCTTTCATTTTTTAAATTTATTATCTATAATAAATATTGTTATAATAAAAATAATCAGTTATACATTTTATTTGTAATTTTATAATTTAAATTTCAAACATTAAAGGGGATTTAATATTTTTATTATTATCATTTATAATGCTAACTTCATCATATGGTACCAATTAAGGGCGCTGTAGGGGTGCTTAATACCTTCCCTGCATGTAACCGACCTAAACCCAATTCTGGTTATCAAGGCCATTATTGGATTTTTAAAAAACCTTTTCTTTTTCCAATGTTTGGAGTAAAACATTGGTGGTGACTCCATGAACTCATTTTTCAAAACCATTAATTAAGGATTAGTCTGGTGTCCGAACATTCCTTAATTGATGAGACTTTTAAAGGATATCTAAATCATTAGTCGCGAGATCAGAAATTTTCGGGTTGCGACAGATGGCGACTCCGCTAGGGACGTTTTAAGAGGGTGAGACCCATATAAATGATGAAATTACACTACAAGAATTTCGCGGATTAGAGAGGGAAAGATCCCTCGCAAATCTCTCGCAAATCCCTCGCTAAACAGAATAGCGAGGGACTAGCGAGGGATTTGCGAGGGATCTTTCCCTCGCTAAATTTAAGTCGCTAATTAGCGACGGATGAATATCCCTCGCCATTCCCTCGCTACATTCCTTTGCTTTTCCCTCGCACCCAGCTTCGCTAGTCTGTCGCAAATTTGTGCCGCTAATTCTTCGCTATTGCCTCGCAAATGTAGAACCTAAATTCCCTCGCTAATTGTATTTAATATTCCGTCGCTACTTTGTCGCTACTCCGTCGCAATTATCCCTCGCAATATCGTCGCTAATTCCTCGCAACTCTCTAGCAATATATCAATTGAGGTCCCTCGCAAATCCCTCGCTAAACTCTCGCAAATATGTCCCTCGCAAATCCCTCGCTAATCCCACGCAAATATGTCCCTCGCAAATCCCTCGCTAATCCCACGCAAATATGTCCCTCACTAATCCCACGCAAATATGTCCCTTGCAAATCCCTCGATAATCCCACACAAATCCATCAAAGCATATGGATTGAGTTCCCTCGCAAATCCCTCGCTAAACCCTCGCAAATATGTCCTTCTCAAATCCCTCGCTAAACCCTTGCAAATATGTCCTTCGCAAATCCCTCGCTAAACCCTCGCAAATCCATCAAAGCATATGAATTGAGTTCCCTCGCGAATACCACGCTAATCCCTTGCGAAACCTTCACAACATATAATAGACTTGCCCCTCAGCTCCTTCAGCTTATAATCAACCACAGCTATCGGTAACTTCTCAAACGTCAGATTCGGCTTCACTTGCACATCATCCAGTTCTACCACATGACTCGGGTCATTCACATACTTCCTCAGCTGAGATACATGAAATACATCGTGTAGGTTTGAAAGAGACGGTGGCAAAGCCAACCGATAAGCAACCGGACCCACACGCTGTATAATTTGATAGGGACCCACGAACCTCGGTGTCAACTTCCGTGCCCTTAGTGCTCTGCCCACACCAGAAGTCGGAGTCACCTTCAG